GTTTGAAATAGGAGAGACTTGCTTAGAAAGATGTGGAGAACCTGGATTGATGTCTGGTCCCTCTCAGTCCCCGAGAACGAACACATCCGAAGAAGTGGGCTGTAGTCCACGAAAGCTTATGCTCTAATAAATTTGTTAGTCTCTAAGGTGCCACAAGTCCTCCTGTTCTTCTTTTTGCGGATACAGACTAACACGGCTGCTACTCTGAAACTTAACTGACAGTGGACTTTGGGAGACGCCAATCCACATCTGAGCTTTCCTGGAAACATTCAAATGAACATGTAAACAATGGTGTCTGCCTGCAAACTGAGTCATGCATAGACATGTGACCTGCCCATGTGATTCCAGACTCCATCTTGCTGCTGTGATTTTCCACAGAAGAACAAATGGGTGTCCTTCCATGGGCAGAAAATATAAAAGGCCCTAGAAACCCCTCCATCTTGTCTTCAATCCTGCTTCTAACTTCTGGAGGAATCTTGCTATAAACTGAAGCTCTGAACAAAGGACTGAATGACCCATCCCAGCTGTGGATGTACTCCAGAGACTGAATTTGAACCTGCAGTTTATTACACCACTGCTACAAGCCTGAACCAAGAACTTTGCCATTACTGTATTTAATTGATTCCATTTAACCAATTTTAGCTCTCATCTATATCTTTTTCCTTTTATGAGTAAACCTTTAGATTTTAGATTTTAAAGGATTGGCAACAGCTTTATTTGTGGGTAAAATCTAATTTGTATATTGATCTGGGTATGGGGCTTGGTCCTTTGGGATCAGGAGAACCTTTTTTCTTTTACCGGGGTATTGGTTTTCATAACCATTTGTCCCCATAATGAGTGGTACTGGAGGTGATACTGGGAAACTGGAATGTCTAAGGGAATTGCTTGTATGACTTATGGTTAGCCAGTGGGGTAAAACCAAAGTCCTCTCTGTCTGTCTGGTTTGGTGTGCCTTGAAAGTGGAGAAACCCTAGCCTATGGCTGTAACTGCCCTGCTCTAAGCAATTTTTCCAGAATTAATACTCTCAGAAGTGTCTCACCAAAAGCAGCATCGTTACAGTGGTGTTTTCCTATTACTTCAATTTCAACTTTTTTGCTTGCTTGCATCATTTTATTAATTTGACTTGGGATTTTTTAGGATGTTTGAGATAATGTCTGTGGACTAATCCCTGACTTCAAATTTCTCAAAATACCTTTGGACCTACTAACTGGATAAGTTTCTTGATCAGTGGACTTTCTGAGTCTGAAAGTACCAGAATGGGGAAGTTCTTGGCATACCCCAGAAGGAGAGGGTCCCATTCTGATTTGCCAAGGGAGTCCCAAGGAGGAATTCCAAGGGGGAGGAACCACCCAGCCACCATCTTCAAAAACTGAAGGAAAAGAAAAAGCCTTGCTGCTGGCTTGTTGGCTACAAACTATGAGTTGCTTGCCTGCCATGGCGGCTGCCCTAGTTGCTGCTGTAGCCCTTGACTGAAGGACTCTGGTTTTGCAATGTTACCATGTTTGACAAAGAATCCTGTGCTTCCTCCACCCTCCTGGCTGACCATCAAGGTCCAGCAACAAGCAACATCTACGATTCAACATCTATAAGCAAGTAATCTAGTCGCCAACAAGTCGTTCAACACAAAACAGCAGAGCTGAGTAGACCACCAGCTAATCTTTTCAACTGTGTACCAGCTTCCTGAAGCTGAATGAAACCACAAGAGTTGGGAGAATGTTTTCCACAGCCTAGGCTGCACAGAAGAATATGTAGAACTCCCTTTAAAAAAATCAAGCCTTATCAAAACACAGTGGAGCTGAAAATGAAAGGCTTAAACTGTACTGCTGGTGAAAGGCTGCTCTGCATCTCTTCTCACTTGTGTATGATTTATTTTCCTATACTACTACTTAAAATAAGAGGGTTTTATTTACAGTGGTTTATTAGTACATTTTCCAATGGTTCAGAAACATCAATATGTATATATATAACTTACTTCTCTTCACATTTATTGTAAGTAAGTCCATCCCCACCGCAGTTGCCACACCGGTCACCTTCAGTATTCACTGCTTTGAAACAACTCAGTGGGGCCAGATGTGCTGCTGCAAAGTGGGGGAAAAGCACAAGGTAAATTACAAGACAGAAATAAAGCACAGAGTGCATTGTACTAATTCCTCCAATCATTTCAAGGGGCTAAGGGGAAACTGAAGTTATTCACCTGTAACCATAGTTCTTTGGAATGGACTCTGCATATTCACACTTATGGGAGGTACCCCTGGTGCAGATGTGATGGTGGAACCTTTAGGTAGCAGTGCCTGTTGGAACTCTCACATCCTCTCCTACCCCGGTCCTCACTGTTCCTGAATTTTTTGAGGGCAAGGCTATAAAAGGGGACATGGTGCTTCACCCACCTCCATGACTTGCACTGCCTCCTCCAAGTCCCAGGTTGTACTTAGGACTCCAAGGAAGGAGGAGGGTGGGTTCCGAGTGCAAATATGCAGAATACTTCTTCAAGAATTCTGGTTACAGGTTTACTAACCTCTATTTCTTCTTCAAATGTCCTCTGCATATTCCTACCCATGGGACAGTGTGACAAGCAGTACTCCCTTTAGATAAAGGTGAATCCTATAATTAAAGGGAGATTGAAGTATTGCCCTGCCAAATTGTGCATCCAATCTGGATGCTGAATCCAAAGAATAGGGATTTGTGAAATGTTTGCGAAGAGCTCGACATTGCAGCACTAGAGATCTGTATAAAAGGAATACGTCTAAGGCATACCATTGTCTAAGGCATTCCATTGAAGCTTCCTAGTGGAGTATGTCCAAATTCTCTCCAGAATAGAGTCTGATGCTAAAGTATAAGTCTCATGAAAGCATAGACTAGCCAATATTGAGAGTGTAGGAGACTAAAGCCCTTTTTTCTTTTTGTTATCAGGATAGAAATGAATAGATTATGGCACAATCTGAATTATTTAGCCCTATCGAAATAATAAGATAAAGACCTTTGGGCACCTAAAGTAAGAAGCATGTTTTCTCCTGCACAGGTGTGGCCTTAGAAAAAATACTAGTGAGTTAATTGACAGATAGATGTAAAATTCAGTCACCAAATTAGGGATGGGGATGTAGCTCTCCTCTATCCTTATGAAAAACAGTGAATGGTGGGTCAGCCATGAGGACCTGTAATTCACACACTCTTCTAGCAGATGTGATGGATCAGCTAAGCAAGAGACTTCAACCCCCATTAGCCCTTCACACTGCATTTCCCTTTCTTGGGAAAGATCACCCGGAGCTTTCATCCTCCTGGTAGGGTCCCCCTTGGCGAGCAGGTCTGAGGCGAGGCTCCTGACTAACCAGGGTCCAAACTTCACAAGACCCCAACAGAGGATCGGGCGCATATAGAGGACCTTTTAATACTCTGTGGCTGTGAAGGCGGGTGAAACTTCACTTTCAAATTTAGCAATCTGAACAGCTTAATGGCTTTAGTTTGGTGTCTCTGGGCACTCATGGGATTTACAAAAAGAGAAGGAAGAGTTCTGGAGACTAGCTTGCCTGAAAGCAGAACTGAACTTTTAGGCCGCTATAGGTAAGGGGATCAAGTCCTACCCTCACTGACAGTTCTGGTTTTGCCTTTAGTCTGATCCTGAGAAGAAGAATGCTAAAGTAGAATATCTTGAGTTTAGTGATATTTCCTAAGGAAATGCTGGATCTAGCAAGAGCTTACAGCTAATTCCCTGTAACCAGGAGCCTCCTCACAAGACAGCATAAGAAAGAGTGTGTTCCTTTCCTGCCTCCCTGACCACAACACAGAAATGAAGTAGAACTGGTTACTCTGCCTCTGCTGCTGCTTCCTTTTATATGGTCCTTTTGGCCCCTGATTGGTCGCTCCAGCAGCCCCTCTGATTGGCTGCTGGGAGGACTTCTTCTCTGCTTTTTTCTGGGGAGGGAAGAGGCAGGGCCACAAGGCCTCCAGCAGGTGGCCTCTGAATCTAGTCTACCCTGTCACACCAAAGTAGATACTGAGAATGATTACATTCTTCCTGGGTGTCTCAGCACTCTTTCCTCTTTAAAACGTTTCCCATCTCATTAGCTCTCACGTAGCACCTTCTGTAGCCAAAGAAGACTCCCATACCACTTAAGAAAGTATCTACTACAATTTTCCAAACCAGCTGTTCCCAAAAGTCAGCTGCTTTGTGTGCGAGGAGCCACTTCAAACCTCTTCAATTGCTTCCTGGGCTGAGGAAGCATGTAGGATCCAGCAGCAGAGGAAGAAGTGTACAGTGAGACTGTTTAGATATTGCAGTGATTGGTGTTATAGAATAACCATCCTAATATATAGGTATGATATGCAAAATCCACTGATCAGACAGGGCAAGCTCAGGGAGAAGGTCAACTTCCCAGCAGAGGTGAGGCAGGATCAAACAATACTGCAGCCACTCCCAGCAGCCACACAAACTCTCCCTCCTTTGTGGCAGAGCCTCCTGCCCAAAAAAGTCTGTTACCTAGCCTCCAGACAACAATCATATAAGAACTGGCCAATTTCCTAAGAGTTAATTCATGCTGCTATGCGTTTTTGTAAATAATAATGCAGGTCTTGCCTTTGCCAAATACAGCTTTGCACTGTCTCTCGTGGTTATGGCATTTCCCTTGGAAACAACAGTCTTTGTCACCGCATGGAGTTCCATCCTGCTTAAATACATCCTCTGGGCACCAGCTTGAAGTCCCATTGCAGTACTCAGGAAGGTCACACTCACCAATACTTTCTCTGCATATTTTCCCTTGTCTATGCAACTGTTAAAATAAGAATACAAGGATCTGGAGGGGATTTCTCTCTGGAGGCCTATTCCACAAGCCGCCATTTGCCTTCTTAAAATATGTTTGTTCTAGGAGTCCCCAAACATCTAACAGGTAAGAAAAAAAGCCACCTGCAGTTGCTTTGACATTTATTTTAACACAGATCAGGTAAGAGGAAGATGCAACATAAATACTCCTAGTGCTGTTAATTAAGGAGTGCACTCTAATTCCAGTATTTAAAATATTTATGATTCTTTCCCACTCCCAAATGATAAATTCTTCATATTTTTAATCAATAACAATGAACAATGGAAAATATAGTTTTTGCCTATCTACTCTTTTTTTTTCTTTCATGTGTAGTCTGCTGAGACTATAGCTGGGGTCTCTTCACCCACAGTGTTCTGTCATTGAGGAGCGGGGGACGGGACCCACCTATCAATATCCTCTACAGAATGAATACTTAGTAGAAGTATTACTGTAGCATCTCGGAGCCGTAGCCAAGGACCTAGATCTCACTGTGCTCGGCACTATATAAATATGGAACAAGAAGACAGTCCCAACCCCAAAGAGCCAGAGCCCAAGTATAAGACAAGAGACAAATGATGGATTCAGATAGATAGGGGAGCATACAAGGAAACAATTTGACTAACTATTGTCAATTTTTGGTAGGCATTAAGGAAAAGGAGAGTTTGAGGTGGGTTTTGGAAGGTAATTGCTTAGTTTTAATCAATGTTTATGGAGAGTTCCTCACAATCATGAGGGGCAGCATGGGAGAAAGCATGAAAGTCCTTGTTTGAAAATGGCTGTCACCATGGTCTCCTGCAGATGATCTGAGGAATCTCTGAGAGCTCGAGAGGGTGCAGAAGAGGAACTTATTTCTGTTTAAATAAGGATATCTTGCACTGGGAGCTGGAATAGGTTCTCTTCCTTCATGTGAGCCATCTTGACAGTGGCCAGGCTCACATGACTCTGGACATATAGGCACTCCATGCTATGGCAGGAAGCCAAGAATGACGATGAAGGAAGAGAAGGACAATAGACAAAAATTAGAAGTCCAGGTAGGAAGATAATATTGGGGAAAATATCAATTGGGGGATGTTTTGAACTCAAATACGGTATGTCTACACAGCATTTGGGAAGGAGCCTCTTAGCCAAGGTCCACAGACTTGTGCTAGGAGGGCTCGTGATAGTGCACTTTTTTAGCTGTGTAGCTGGTGCTTTGACATTTTGACTCAGGCTGGAGCTTGTGCTCTCAGACCCATTCCTTCTGCCCCAGGTTTGGAGTGTGAGCTCCCAAGCCACAACATCAAAGCACTGTCTACACAGCACACTACTAGCACAAGTCTGTTGACCTAGGCTGGGAGGCTCGCTCCCAAAAGCTGAGTAGACATTCCAATAGGGCTTGGAGCCATGCACTGCCAACGGAGGCAGAACATTCTGGAGAGGATGTTGATGGGCAGGTCCTTTCAACCTCTCACCAGTCTGTCATTGACAGCTTTAGCTGCCATCCTAGCTGAGGGCCCTAACTGCCAGGTTATAAAATCATTCTCACACTTTCCCTGGCCCAATGACTATTCAGACATGCATAATGATAATGGATTGTTATCCAAAAACATTTGATTTGGTCAAAGTCATTCAGAGAACTCTACATGAATTAGCGAATGGTTTTGGATTGACTAAAATTTCCTTTTTCAGCAAATAAACTATTTGCTAAAAACAAATTGCTCAACTTTAATCCCAACCCATCTACATGGGGTTAGCAGATGCAGCACTTGAGCAGGAAATTGTGAAAATGAATAGTATTGCCACTGGCTACTAACTTTTAAAACAAGTAATGAAACATTCAGTTTACCATAAAATACAAAACCTACCTGACAGTTTTTGCAGCAAAGTCCAGAAACACAAGCAGCACCTTGTTTTATTGTACAATTGGATAGGCAACAACCACTCCGTAGGCACACCTTCAAGTAGAAAATGAATGGCACCTCACCTTAAAAATCTGTTGTGGGACTCTCCTGGCATAACAGCACTCTTACCATTTATTGTTTGATTTCAAACAGTAACAAAGCTTAATGAATTTGAGAGACAAACTTCTGTTTCTTACCTAGTCCTAATTACGTATAATTTTTTAAAAGGTATTATTATTACTTCTATTATTTGCTATTTCTTCTACTCAAGGAATCCAAATAGAATGCTGCCTACAAGAGAGGAAGGATGGTCCAGTGGTTAGGGCAGCCACTTGGGACTATGGGTACTGGGTTCAATTGTCTGCTCTGCTGTGAGCTTAGGCAAGTCACTTAGTTTTTTATTCGTCAGTTCCCTATCTGTAAAATGGGAGCAATAGGGAAGTACGATCTCACACGGGTGTTGTGAGGATAAATACATTTAAAAAATTTAAAAGATTGTGAGGTGCTGACATTACAGTTACATAAGTACCATAGCTATATGTAATATTTCTAATGATTTTAAGATATTTGCAAACAAAATTTAATAATTTCATTTTAATGTAAACTTTTAAAGGCAGATGCACCAATATACTAGAGTAACACAAAGAAGCCATAATGTACTTTATGAATCTGTCACTCATTTTCTAATTGACTCACTGGCTTGCAGGGTTGTGTTGGTGAGACTGGTACTATGTGATATTAGGTGTGGGGATAGCATAGTCCATGAGTCCCAATGTCGCCATGCTTCAAGGGCATCCCCTGTACTCCTGCCTCAGTTCTCCTGTCTGTGTTGCCAAAATGGGAGTAGTGCCAAGACAACCTTTTAAGGTGGGGAGCCTTTTAAGCACTGATGTTTGAGCTAGTATGCAGCTATGCAATCTTTAAAGATCAGTGAGTTTAGCCACATAAGCTGCATGTTTCCAGTCTCCCCTCGAACCAGAGCCATTCTACCCAATAGAATTGTGGCATGTAAATTAGCTGCAGATGCTGGGTGGTGATTGATTGAGTTAGCAGCACTGCAGCTGTGCCACCCTGGCATTTCAAGTGTAGACAAGCCTTTAGTTATTTAGGCACCTGACTGCCACTTCTTGAAGTGATGCTATATAATAATTATTACAAGCAAGAGCGTATCTCTTGGGCTTCCAGATCCTGGGGAGAAAAGACCAAATCCTTTTAACTCTGAGTCTAAAGGAAACAAGGAGTGAATATGGGATGGTGGCAGCAACAATACCAGATAGAAAGGATACGTGTCAGCTGTTTACCAGAGAAGAAGCAGGTCCTCAAAGTAACTGAAAGTTTATATATTGTCACAATGACCTTTACATCTTTTCTTAAACAATTGCATATAAGATGGAGACAGAATTAATTAATTTAAACAAAGTGGGTTATACTGATATCACTGACCAAATCAGGCCAGAGAAAGGAACCCAGAAGAGCACTCCCACCTCCACATGCTAACTCCAGAACCCCAGCTGGGATGTGACACTTCATCTCTTTTTCTCCACACCCACCCCCAATCTTCCCCTGTGTGTCCTCTTACTTCCTCACCTTATTTCTTCTCTTTCCTAACACGCTCCTTTTTCCTTCTGTTTAATAAATGCCTGCTTTAGCTGGATAAGACTGTATACTTTGCAACATGGCTGTAAGCCTGTGACCAGAAAGGCAGCTAAAAACAATGCCCTAAACATCCCAATGGTGGTACAAGATATCATGGTATCATGATAACAAGGTATCATGTCAAAGAGTGACTGATAAGACCCTGTGTTGTGCCTGTGTTTCTGCGACAATAAGGTTGCAAGTTAGAGTCGGCACCAGAGACAGAAAAAGACGGTTACTCACCGTTGTAACTGTTGTTCTTCGAGATGTGTTGCTCATATCCATTCCATTAGGTGTGTGCGCGCCGCGTGCACGATCGTCGGAAGATTTTCTACCCTAGCAACACCGGCGGGTTGGCTGTGGAGCCCCCTAGAGTGGCGCCTTCATGGCGCTGAATATATACCCCAGCCGACCCGGCGCCCCCTCAGTTCCTTCTTGCCGGCTACTCCGACAGTGGGGACGGGGGGCGGGTTTGGAATGGATATGAGCAACACATCTCGAAGAACAACTGGAAAACGGAATGTATGATGTCCGGACGGATAGACCACTCGTGTTCTGGACTCCAGGGAGGAACGATGCCGTGGGATGGATTGATTGGGCGATTCAGAAGTCCCACAGGCGAATTGCCTCTTGGCATAGAATTGACG